AATCTAAGTCATACTATTTTCCAATATCAACGTTCAGCGGTGGCATGTTATAGCCACGTGTTAGGTTCCATTGGAAGAATCGCCTACTGACCTGCATCGACCCCTAAGAAATGAGCTCCTGAGAAATGAGAGAACCTTGTATATGAGGATGTTGCATACTGTTGTATAGTGCTAGAATATAATAGGCTAAATGCCGCTGACTGATCATACAATCTGGAAGGACTTAATTTCTCGTAATGCAAAGCTGAGAGTAGTTCAAGGCTGGCGGCGTACGATTATGAATTTTCTGTGTCCTCGAAGAATATCGGGATCATGGTAGTTTTCAGGGGCATTCGTGACTTGTGCAACGGGAATCCTTTTACCGAAGAAAGTAGGAAGAGGTAGAGAATACTATCCTAAAGGGTAACAAACAGGGAAACCCGAAGGCCACCTCTATCGAAATATTTGGACAATAGGCGTACAGCATTGCATTGAGCTACTGATGTATGATCCTGAACTCTTTCTAGGGTCTGTTGAATTTAGGTGTTACCTTAAGTGGGCTTCGACCACGACTTCCATATCATTCGAAAAAGCTTGGAGTGTTCCTCACTATGAACGATGACGTTTCCCTACAAAAGAAATGGGTGGAAACACGTCTGCTATAACAATTCATTTATCCTAATGCGAACTATTAATGACATACAGGTTCGAGCAGCCGGAATGATGGGTTTTTCAGTAACTGGACGATATGTTACTTTCAATTTTAACGGGTTAACGTCAATGCATTTGATAGTTTTGAACTGGGTTATAATGAATATTGCCTACACATGGGGCGGGCGTTAGCTTTTCCTAGACCGACTTATAGCAGATTCGTGGATAACAATGAAAATGCTAAAAATGTTTGGTTTTTTTCGTTGCAATACCTTAACCGTATTTTTCAAAAATACACACAGAATTTTTGGGCATGAAATTGGATTGTATATAGGCATTTAGTAGTCTGGCCCATGCTCACATTGACTTAGATTGTCTGGTTGCATGTAAGATGATTTGATCCTCTGTGTTCGATAGGGCTGCGCGTTAATGGCGAAAAAGAGGACAAATGTTCCCTATGTCACGATATGCTGCCTTTATATGAAATCTACGCCACGATCCAGTGATCGCTAAGTTGAACTACTAGCTTGAGGCAATGAAACACAGTGATCTAAACTCCCGTTCCGAACACTTTAAATAATATATTGTAAAACAACAATGATAATAGGCAAGAGTATTGCACAAAAAAGCTGATACCTTTCGGCTCATGCTATTCGCATTTGACGCAATAGTCCTGACACAGGGACGCATTCTCCTAGGTAATACTTATCAAGGTTTCTGAGCTCTAAGGAATAGGCCTTGAAATTTCAGACACCTAGAATAAAAGGATTGCTATACATACTGCTGAGCTTAATACAAATAGAATGTTTCTAATAGATTTTCAAGTCTTTATGGAGAGCAAGCGAATGGCGGACCCGCACTGTTGTTTTAGGTTGGCACAGACCGTGATAGCCGACTGTACCTGTCAGGGCAATAGAGTGCGAAGAACTTTCGAATGTGTTATTAAGTTGCATAAATTTTACCATGAAAAGTCCTGATCAAGCACTGTTTAAAGTTCACTATAAATTGACAGGTGAGGTAATGGTTTTGTGGAACGAGTGGCAGAACATTTAGACGCGCCTACAAGGTGATCTGTCAAGATGACAAGCGGACAACTAGACATGAGCCAGAGTTCTGAAATAAATGAATTAACACTGCTATCCATGAACTGTATAGGATCAAAAATGATCAAATGCTTCATTAAAAAAGATGCAACATTATATTAAAACCAAACGTATGACAGTTTTTCGACGAATTTTATTTTGTAATATCAAAAGCGCTCTCGCTTTCCGCTGTAATCGTAAATATTCGAAATGGCAAATATTCGTGAAAATTCAAACGAGAGGCGTATTTAACGAAAACGCAAACCCCTCTCGGTATGGCCATCACATCAGTCTATCGGCAGTGGTTCGCCGACCGCTCCGCCGTATCAATTTCTACCTTCAGCGGAAATATCTATCGACGCTGCCGACTGGTCTTTTTGACCCGTTTTAAGCAATTCACTTCTTTCCAGATATGGTGATTTCTGCTCAAGTAGAACGGAGTAGTTTGTAGGTAACACTGAGTCTTCAGAACAATAAACACTGTAATTGTACCTTACCGTGGAAACGGTATCAATAGCTTTTCTGCTTACAGGGCGGGTTTTTTCCTTCCTAGTGGATAGAGGAGTGGTACAAGAAGTCAGATGGACAGTGGTCTGCAGCGTAGCCAGTAGGAATGACGAATAGTCAGCGCAGATTGCTCTCCATTGGGCCGTTTTGCTGCAATATCGCAGCGTATCGCATGTAATGCTAACTGACCCTCTGGGTCATTTGCCACTACTTGAGGTTACGGAGAGGTGGCACTATGGCGCGTCAATACGAGTTTGATAGGCTCAAACGCGAACAAATTCGTTTCGTTATCCGCCAGTGCCCGACTTGCGAAAAATCAGGTCACACGCTCTGTTGGGACTCTGCGGAACGGGGTGTCAGGGCGCATCGGCCTCGGCCCTCTGCCTGACCGTGGTTGGTTGGGCGTCACCGCCATTTACGCGGGTCTGCTTCATAAAAAGGGCGGTCAATTGATCTACGATGCGCTGTCCGCGTACGCTCACTCTCTATCTGTTGTTACGTTGTTATTTGTGCGCCGTTGTTTGTGCGCCGCTGGTATTTGTGCGCTACGGTGGATTTGTGCGACTTGCCGGCACTGTGCGCTGATCGCACCGACCCGACGGGTGGAGCGGGAGGGCGCTCCAACGATCCACAGGCCACCACCCGGCCCGAAGCGAAGGTGGCGCCGCCGAGTGGCGGAATCTAAGAAACTAAATAGTCTGAAGACAGCGCGTAGGGGTCCGGACCACCCAGGGAAGTCAGGCTATCCGAGCGTTTATATAGTCACAGACCTGGTGGCCGGACGCGATCTCGGTTCACTGGTCGCGATTGATGTCATCTTTTGCTGTCGCGAAGCCCCACCCGCTAGTGCAGAATCATTGACGTGGGAAAGCGCGGTAGTCTCAGCATTTCTCTAACTCGTTGCGCATGCGAGCATGACGCAATGCGATAAAATCGCAGAAACAGTATCGTATAAATACCAAATTAGCCCTCGCCCATTGAGCGAGGTAATAGAGCCTCCTCTGTGCTCGATCAGCTGATGTTTTGGCGGGAAGTAGAGAAGAATTATGTTGTATGATTGAGAACCATCGTAGCGGCGGTCTGGTCGCGACCGTTTGCCTATTGTTCTAATACGCACTGCGGATTGAGCCAGCGAACCAGTCGACATTGAGAACAGCGGCAGCGAGGGGTAGCTGGAGGGGGAAATCGCTATGGCTGTAACTGCCGCCGCTAGAGCATCATGGCTGTGGCCGCCGCTTGTCATATCGAAACGGATCAGAGATAACGGCGTCGAGTTGGTTTGCCGAGTGACTCACGTATGTTAGAGGATGAATAGAGTAAGGCTCGCATTTGTAGTGGAGAGTAAGCGGAGATGCAATTTCCAATAGACACTGAAGAACAGAGCAGCAATTCGTAGGAAAGCCAGAAGCAAAGCCATTGTTCTTAACGCTCCCTTTGGCTTGTGCTAAAAAATAATCAGGGACAAATATCCTATTCATTAATATTAAGTGACTGCTTCAAAATACGTGTTCTATGAATCATGTCTTTGATATTATGACTAGGTACGAGAAACTTCTGTTTATCAATGTTCTAATGCTTCCTACCCTAATTTAAACCTTTATGCATCCTGAACACGTTTTGAAAACTGCTACGCCAACGCTAATTTGCCATGCAGTTGTTGGATTTGGTTGACCATTTGCACTGCTTGCATCCCATTTCCAATACGTTTTTTTTTTACGTTGATGCGAGAGTATTTAGGTATTACTTCAGATAGCTGGGTGTTCGCCGGTACTCGAACTCGCTTGCGTCCCTTCATTTCAGTAGCCCAGTACATCGTTGACTGCGTTATCATGGAAACCCAATTGCAGTACTTGCAATTGCCCGGTCGAGATATACGACTAGAGCGCAACGCATAATTAGGTACTAATTTTTGAGCAAAGAGTCCTACCGTTCATTATTTGAACAAAATGATCGATTCTCTAGCTTCGTTCGAGTGATAAGACCAAGCATCAACCACAGACATAATGAAAAAAAAGCATTCAAACTTACAGCTGACATTTGCCGCAAAAACACTAAATAGTGTTCGGGTTAAAGTTAACCCGAACCATGCGGTCATTGGCAAGTTATTCAACTATTTTGTACAGAAAATTTTTACAGAACAGGACTAGTGTAGGGCATACAGTTCGGTGACCGCATAGTTCAAGCTCAAAAGACGAAAAAAGACGGTTTGATTTGTCTCCTCGCTCGTCACCAATAGACTTATTATCTACTGGGCTGAGTTAGACGCCACTCAGGAACATAGATCTCTATCCTTTGTCCGTTGTGCCATCGCACTGAGAATTCTATTACTAATTCCATATCTTTATCATCATAAAGATGTATGAATTTGATGGTTTAACTTCCCTGAGGTCTTTTTTAGAGGTTGCTTGGACCTCTAAAGTAGAGAATCGACTGTAAGATTGGTTGTGAAATCGGTAAAAAAACTTATCACTGAAATGTACGGCAATAAAAAGAAGGTAAATTATAATTTTTCATTATAATCAATTTTTAGCCTATTCTGTGGTATAGTCAACTTGAAAATGGCCAGTGGACGTTTAAAAGAAGATTTGAGTTTTTTTTTTTTTCGCTTATTCTAACTGCCCTTCGTATCTGACGACTAGCATGTAACTTAATTTATTAAGTGACTGGCATTTAACTAACGTCAAGGACGCTGAGCTACTGTCGTACGTATTTGACAGTAGTAGCTTACTTAGAACTAATGAGCTAACATCAACAGAGAAAACGATTAAGTTTATTTAATATGAAGTTTATTATTATTTCATTCCATATGCACCGTTGTTACTGGCATTGCGTTCAAGTTGTCAATTATTTTAGTGAATTATACTTTATGAAGGGGTAGAGGGGTTCGTCAACGATGAGAGCCAGGTACTCCTTTCTCCGATTGGGCCGTTTACTCTGTGGTATATCAAATAAATCGAACATGGTGTTTCGCTCCTCGTCCATGCAACACAATGCCAATATAGAACTACAGAAAAATCGTCTATGTGTCCCTGCTAAACGCGATAAAGATTACCGTTGAGATCCTGTACACAAAAAGGGCCAACGACTACCGAATTGAATTGTATTTAGTCAAAAGATGAAATGAAAGGCCACAACACTGAAAACGCTAAATCGAGCTTCGCAGTAAACAATGTCGCAGATAGATTTTCTGCGAGCGTACTATTGTGGTATGCCCCGTCAATTTTACAATAGATAACCGAACAAATTGCTAGCCGATACTTTGAGCAAAGCCATACGATTGATTAGTTCACAGTAAGATTTATAGTGCTTATTCAAAAGAGTATTTAGTCCATTAAAGGTTTTTTCATCCGCACTTAAAAAGTAAAATAAAGACAAATATTCAATAGTCTGTGCTGTTATTGGAGTTATTATCGTTATAGCCATTGTCGTCGTCGTCGTCGTCGTCGTTGTCGTCGTCGTCGTCATCGTCGTCGTCGTCGTCGTCGTCGTCGTCGTCGTCGTCGTTGCTCTTTGCCGAGGAACTTCTTCCAAGGGAAGTTAAATGTTCAGTGAAATCAACGTGCCTTACTGGACAGCGTCCTTCATATCGTCGCTATATCGAGAAAGCACTTTTTCTTAAAGGCTGTAGTTGATGAGGTTAAAAGGTGTTCTGCTTTCTAAAGGTCTAACGTGTTCTCGAGGTATTCATCGTAAAGATTTTTGGCTTCCTTCCGAATCCCGTCGACCAGGTTCGCCGTGACACTCAGTCGCTTAATCATTTCGTTCGTAGGCTCATCGAGCGTGATCATTTTCGGCGTGAAGCTTGTTGCCAACAGCCCCATAGCGGCGATTATTATGAGTCCACCCAGGAGCACGGGTATTTCGAATGCTGCAGGAATATTATGGAATTGGTCCTGTAGTACAAAGGATAAAACAGTTTCAGCAAAGATGATCATCAAACACGGATGAGAGGACATCTATGGCTTTCCATGTACAATGCGATTACGTAAACAACAACAACGCAGTGCACATAATAGGTAAAGGTGGCATCGCAACTATATTAGATATAAACGCTAGTTATAAGACTGATTCTGTAATGTAGTATTATATCCATACGCATAAGCTCTCGGTCAACGACGCAGTAATTCAAATTCATCACATGTGATTCAAAAGGTTTTCGGTAGCTTTTATTATTACCCAGGTAACGATGACGGTGTGAGGTAAGCCGATTCCATCAACCCACTGTTTCAGTACTTGGCGATCCAAAACATAGAATACAAGCACAACAAGGGTCACCATCATTACACAGATTGGTATCACCGCGCAGGTGCCCGATAGAAAACAGCGACTCTGGACATGATACTCTTCCGAATCACGTCTTTCTCTGTAACAGAGAAGTCGTCACGATACAGCCAGTATGATTATTTGTTGCCAATAGTGATCGGATCGGCTCGGCTCAGAAAAATGCAGTGGCGGGAGGTTTGGGTGTTCGAGGGCGGGGAAGGGGAAGGGGAAGGGGAAGGGGGGGAGGGGTAAGAAGACTGCGGGATCAGTGGCGAAGACTCCAGGCGTTACGGATGTAGACTATATCGGCTATTAGGGCGTAGCCGGGGATGCAAAAGGCGAGCGAGCGAGCAGGCTAACGGAATCTTAATTGTGGATGAAGATGTTCTCTGACTAATTTCCTAGCCGCATGTTCCTTTTACTAATATTATTCGCATAATTTTTTCCCAGCTGGAGAAAACATAAGGAAAGCGATTTTTTCTTTTCTATAGAATAAGAATCTCGCGATTGGAAGAGTACTCTCGTATATTTAGAAGTAAAGAGCTACATCATTGAATTAACTGTACTTTTGCATTGAACAATACTTTTATCGAGGCTATCGTACTTTTGCAATGGAAGTAATATCAAACCAAGTGATATTTACCCGATAATCTTGCTGATGTGGTCGCAGTGCGAAATCATTTTTTGCAGTACGTTATCCTGAAGGTTTATAGAGATAGCCCTTTCAATGAGTTTTAGCGATTCAGAAAGCTGGTTCAGGGCATTTGGCTGATTTTTGGATAGGCCCGGGATGAAGATCGGATAGAGCCAAAGGTCTGTGAAAGTTCGATTGATAGAACAAACACAAAATTGAAGTCAGTTGCCGAAGACCGTTTTTTCAAAAATTTATAGGCGCCATAAGGAACACAATGGCAGAGTGGAAGAACGCGCCGAATCAGTTGTTACAATGTTGTGGGAAAACAGGCCAAAAATTATGGAGGAGCTAAATTCGATGGAGCTTTGCACATGTGTCATGTAGCAGTATCTATAATATTATGCGTTATAATGCCTTACTTCTTGGTGATTACCCAGGGGGTACGCAGTTTTCGTTAGGCCTAACACTCGCAGCCCACGCGCGTAAGATGCGTAATGTAGTTCTTTCTAGGTTTTGATACATTTTTCCCCGATGGGTTACAGCAAAAACGTTGTACCGTAATCGTGTGTAAATGCATGCAAAATAACTGCTAACTGAGGTAACGAGCGCAAGGAGAGGGGGTGAAGCGTTATGAGGCAATGGAGCATACTGATATTCGTAAAAGCGTTGAAATATCCAAAGCTTGCGTATGTTTTAGGTGATAAGACGAAGCGTATCACGCACCTGTTACTCATTGCTAGGCTGCTGCCACCGATGTGGCCATCAATCACAACGCTCATTAAGCAATGCTCCAAACACTGACCACATCCGTAATGCTATGCGTGTTGAATTAGCGGAATTTATTTACTAACATATCCATTGGACTGGACAACGAGACAGTACTATAAGATGTGGAATGCCGGCCGCAGACCTGATCAGGGCCTTTGTCACATTGTCCGAAACGGACTTCTGTCAAATACGGGCGTCGCATGGTAACGAGCGGCCACAGAAAATCTGTGATTTAGGAAAGTAGGTCTTTTCAATAGACGGAACGCAAACCGCGTGCTTTTGCTATGTAGCACTAATTTGCTATGTTAAAGTTCTAAATCTCTTGTACTTACTTTTCATGCGAGCTATTTCGTATCCCAAGGTGCATGGCGCTTCCATACATCAGCAAAGCAGCCGATAAGGCTCGAAACTCGGTAAAAGTTAGAATGCAATTGGCTTTTCGACCGTGCAACTAGCCATCCCAAAGCAATAATCGGAATCAGCAATGATCATAATACAAGCAGCTTCAGAAAAATCGTGAATCATCCTTTTTTTTGTTATCTTAACGTAATCGCGCCGTATGTTGCGCCGTATTTTCAACGGCATGGCTGCCCATCTATAATAAAGTTATAGATAAGATAGGGGTGTCGCTTAACTTACGTGTCATGTGTGATCTGTTTTTTGCGGAATGCTATGCTGTTCTTATACAGTACGTACTTTCGCGTGCGATGGCTGGCCGACGTGCCAGCTCCGCGGAAACCTGCTGCATAACCTTTAGGCGATCAGCTTCGTCCTCGACGAGGTCGCATTTTGTCAGCCACAGCGACAACTGGGATAGGGTAACCCACACGTAACAACAAGTCAAAAGAAAGCACAACAGTATAGAATTATTAAACGGTAAAAACGAGCTCACTAGTTTAGCTGCTAGCCGGAAGTGCCTGCCTGTGTTAACCTGTTAATGGGTTTGTCAGCGTAGAGTTGTTCAAGCTTAGGATAAGCCATAACCTAGCACCCCATCAGTCAAATCGTACAGGATTCAGCGGCAGTCGTCGTATGAACGAAACTGATCACTTGTCGACGATACGAGCACGCTGCTAGCGTCACTACCGGTAGCACCACGACCGAAATTATCGTCATGGGCCCCGGCTATCTCCGCTGTGAGGCTGAAACCCAGAAGATTGTGCACGGTGGGAGTGAAAGGGGGTGAATAAAACGAGTTGTTAATCCAGTAGGTATTATGGCTGCCAGCGGCCTGCCAACGCTGCTAAGCCTGCTTCATCATTTCGCCGTGCTAGCCAAGCTACCTCGTTCTTTTCGATGTCATTTCATCGTATAGTGTGAGAATGTATTGCTACGAAGTACGCGGTCGTCTAACTCAATCAGGCTGAGTCGTAGTAGGTCATCGTCACGCCATTCAAGTATAGCGCTCCGTTTTCTGTCGATCCATGTATTCATGGAGAAGTAGAGGGCTAACCGGTGACCGCTGAATGGCAAAAGACCACAAGGGACGAGAAACAGCACAGCAGCGCCAGAACTGTGCTGTTATCACTTGCTAGCTTTCTGACCCGCTCCCCTTATATCAGCTGCTTACAGGGAATCGGTTGGGGCACGGTGACGACGACGACGACGATCACGATGTTGGCCGGGGGTACAAGGGGTCCTGGACTAAATGCATGCTGTGGGTGTGTGTGTGTGCGGGCGGCTGCTGAAACACATCAGGCAGGAGCAAGGACCGTTCGAACCTCTTAGCTCCCTTTTAAGGTTTATCTTTGTGGCAAATAGTCAGGGAGGCGGACAGGTAGACGGGCTAACGGTGATCGCGATGAAGGCATCGAAAACCGTCTCAGAATCAGCACAGGCTGGAACTCGCTAGTTTCTAGTTAGAGATATTCGGCAAAGGTAGGGGAGTTACGATACTGGCCGAATGATTAGACGATGCTATCGTTACTTACATACGATGATAGGGCAGAGGGTGAGTTAGTAGCGAAGATAGATAGAACGAACGCCAACGATAGTGAACCGTAGATACTTACGTATACAGTGTACAGAAAAAAAGGTTTCTCGTTACAAGTTAGGACAATTGGCCAGACGACATTGTCATACATTGCAATGCAACTTGAGTAAGCCTATTTTCAATGAAAGCACGTATCCTTTAGGTATTTTCAGAGCAAAAACTGGAACAATGCATGCTTGTACCGAGATATATATATT